ATACTCTGTTAAAAAGAAATCCAAAGCATTTGGAGAAATTAAAGGCCTACTATTATTTGTAGAAGTGACGACTTCTGATGAATGAGAATTTGAAGGCATTATGACCATGCTTCTCAAAACTCGATTCTTTAACTATCTGCATCAGGATCACTTAGGATATTGATTTTAAAAATAAAGTTTCCTCTCTGTACTTTCTGCTCAATTTTGCTGTGAACTAAAAACTGCTCTAAAAATAAAGTCTATTTAAAAAAATGAATCTAGATATAGACCTTACACCCTTCACAAAAATTTACTCAGAATGGGTCATAGACCTAAATGCAAAATGCAAAACTATGAATCTCCTAGAAGATAACAGGAGAAAATGCAGATAACCTTGGGTATGGCGATGACTTTTTAGATACAACACCAAAGGCACAATCTGCGAAAGAAACAGTTGATAAACTGGATTTCATTAAAATTAAAAACTTCTGCTCTGTAAAAGACACTGTCAAGAGAATGAGAAGACAAGCCACAGTCTGGGAGAAAATATTTGCAAAAGACACATCTGATAAAGGACTGTTATCCAAAATAGACAAAGAACTCTTAATTAAGCAGAGGAACAATCCAATTTAAAGAATGGACAGAAGACCTGAACAGACACCTCACCAAAGAAGATATGCACATGGCAAACAGGCGTATGAAAAGATGCTCAGCATCAGGTGTCATTAGGGAATTACAAATTAAAACAATGAGATACTACTACATGCCAACAGAATGGCCAAAATCCAAAATACTGACAACACCAAATGCTGGTGAGGATGTGGAGCAACAGGAACTGTCCTTTTTTTGCTTCTCACTTTGGAAGACAATTTGGCAGTTTCTTACAAAACTAAATGCACTCTTACAATACAATCCATCAGTTGTGCTGCTTGGTATTTACCCAAATGAACTGAAAATTTATGTCTGCACAAATACCTGCAGAAGGATATTTATAGTAGCTTTATTCATAACTGCCAAAACTTGAAAGCAGGTACAATGTCCTTTGGCAGGGGAATATATAAACTGTGGTATATCTAGACAAGGGAATATTATTCAGTGCTAAAAATAAATGAGCTATCAAGCCATGAAAAGACATGGAGGAACCCTAAATGCATATTACTAAAGGAGAGAAGCCACTCTGAAAAGGCTACATACTGTATGATCCCAACTGTATGACATTCTTCAAAGGCAAAACTATGAAGACAGTAAAAAGATCAGTGCTCTCACGGTTAGAGAAGAGGAAGGGATGAATAGGTAGAGCAGGGAGGATTTTTAGGGCAGTGAAACTACTCTGTATGGTACTACAGTGGTGGATACATTTCATTATGCATTTGTCCAAACCCATATAGAATGTACAACACCAAGAGTGAACCCTAATGCATATCCTATGGGCTTTGAGTGATAATGATGTGCCAATGTAGGGTCATCAACTGCAAAAATACACCACTCTGGTGGGGGATGCTGAAAGTGGGAGAGGCTGTACTCGTGTGGGCAGGGGTACATGAGAACTCTCTGTACTTTCTGCTCAATTTTGCTGTGAACCCAAAACTACTTTAAAAAATAAAATCTATTTAAAGAAATAATAAAGTTCTCTGGGCCCCACGCAGGACCTACTGAATCAGACAAATCTTAGAGAGGGGTTATGATCCAAGGAATATGATTTTTAGCAAATTTCAAGATCACTAACCATGTAGGGAAGACGTGAGAAAGGGAAAGATGAGAGAAAATGGGAAAGGAGAGATGAGGACAGAAATTAACATTGACTGATACTCTTGGGTACCAACCTCAGAGATTCAGATTCAGTAGACCTAGAGCGGGGCCTAGAAATATGCATTGAAAAAACTCCTTAGGTGATTTTAATAGAGGCGGGACATCCTTACATCTGATGAGGGAGCTTCATGGAAGCGAAGTTGAAAAAAAGGAGCTTGAAGCTGAAAAGGAGGTTAAAATGGCACACAGTATTTCTGATGTAGAAATGAAAGACTGTTTTGAAAGTTCAAAAAAGGGGGGCCAGACCAGTGGCATAACAGTTAAGTACACGTGCTCCGGTTCAGCAGCCTGGGGTTTGATGGTTCGGATCCTGGGCACAGACCTCCTCACCCCTCATCAAGCCATGCTGAGGCAGCATCCCACATGGAGCAACTAGAAGGATGTACACCTATGACATACAACTATCTACCGGGGCTTTGAGAAGAAAAAAAGGAGGAAGATTGGCAATAGGTGTTAGCTCAGGGCCAATCTTCCTCAAAAAAAAACAAATGGGGAGAGGAACTAAACAAACATTAAAAAAAAAAACAAGAGGATACAGTCAAAGGAAATGAAGGGAGGATTTGAGCAAAGGACAGAACAACTAGAGAAAAGGATTCTTCCTCTGAGCACAATACTTATTTCTGCAAGAAGACAGCCCTGCCATCTCTGCTCCGTGTCGCAGGAAGTCACACAGGTGCACATTCTTCACCAGGATTTCATGGAAACAAGGCAGATGACAAGTTACCTTTGGGGATTTAGTCTCAAAAACAGATTGTGTAGTAAAGCTCTAACATGCCAATTAGCAGAGAGCTGTAGTTTCTAAATGCCACAATAGGAAGCACTTATTATGAACAGGCAAAAACAATAGGCAGGTCTTTGGGATAAAAATTAGCTCATACAATGGGTAAGAAAAAAATCTATTTTTAAAGATGACATTGATAATCTATCAAGTAGGTAAGTGTGTCCATGAAATAACACCTATAACTGGAGTAACCATATAATTTATTATCCAGAACAGGACACTTTCGAGTGAAGGAGCCTTTTAATAAATATGCCAGGAAAACAGGTGTCGAGCAGGACTGCCCCAGGCAGACCAGAATGGACATCCCCCTGACGGTAATGCTTCTCTGGACAGTAATAAACCAAACAATAATCATAGAGACTAACCACAATGTTCTAAAGAGGAACTGACTGTAATTACAGAGTTAGAATACGCAGATGGTATTAATTCAAGTTCCTTTCTCTCTCCACCCATATCCTTGGTGTGGAACATCCAATAGCACTTTTATAATTACACAGCACAGCAGTAATTAACATTGATCTTGGAACTTAGTAAAGGCCAGCATTAATTTGTAGACCACGTTGGATTCAATCCAGTCTTTACCTAAAATTCATGCAGTGAGCACTGTTTCACCAGCTCCATTACCACTACCACCATGACCACAGGCTCAAACTTGGACAAACTGTCAAAGAAACTTTTATTTTTTCCTTGTTTTAAGATACAGTGCACTTCTGTATAGATCTTGAATCTCTAGTGAAATAATGTCTTGAGTATGAAAAGAAGAATCTTTTCACTGGGTTTCTAATCTGAAAGGGTTTGCCCTTTCTTTTCTATTTCAACAAATATTTATTGGGGGTCTACAGTATGCCATGCTTTGTCGTAAGTAATAGATAAAGCAGAGGAGAGAGAGACCAAATGATTGTCGATCCAATGAAAAGCATTGTTTGGTTATTTGTAATCAATGAGACTACTGGTTCACAAACCTGATGCATATTAGAATTATTTAGGGGAGCTTTTAAAAAAAATCCTGTGCCTCACCACAAAAAAATTTGTACATGAATGTTCTTAGCAGAATTATTCATTACAGCCAAAAACTAGCAACAACCCCAATGTGCCTCAGCTGATGAATGGATAAAGAAAACGTGGTATTTACATAAAACGGAATAGTTTTCATAATAAAAGAGAATGAACTACTGTTACATGCTACAACATGGATGAACCTTGAAAACAGAAGGCTAAATGAAAGAAGCCAGATACAAAAGAACATACAGCATATGATTCTATTCATATGAAATGTCCTAAATAAGCAAATCTATAGAGACAGAAAGCAGATTAGTGGCTCTCTGGGACTGGAGATTTGGGGGAGGAATGGAGAGTGACTGCTAATGAGTACAGGTTTCTTTGTTAGGGTGATGAAAATGTTCAAAGTTGATTGCAATCATCAGAGAAATGCAAATAAAAACCACAATGAGATATCACCTCACACCTTAGGATGGCTATTATCAAAAAGACAAGTAATACCAAGCGTTGGTGAACGTGTGGAGAAAAGGAGACCCTTGTGCACTGTTGGTGGGAATGTAAATTGGTGCAGCCATTATCGAAGAATATGGAGGTCCCTCAAAAAATTAAAAATAGAACTACTATATGATCCAGCTATCCCACTTCTGCGTATAAATCCAAAGGAAATGAAATCAGTATCTTGAAGATATAATATCTAACAGGTTAGAACTGCAGCCCTAAGTTTGGTATCTGGAGTTTGTCCCTAGTCAATTGCATCTTTCCCACCAATTTCTATGGCATTTGTGTAATCTTCATGACTGGGACTCTGCCACAACTATCCCTTCAACACCTCAGTAACCTGGCTGGGAATGAGCCTCACTTAGAAATGTAGTTTAGCAATGTGGGTCTTCTCCCAAACTGGGAGCAGGCCTGACCTCCTGCACACTGGCTGGCTGGCTGACATCCTGCTTCATGTTACAGAATCTACTTTGTACAAATGTTTTGCATCGTTGCTTGCCAGACATCGTGTACTGCCACTGGCTAGACACACTGCTCCTGGATCCCTCACCTGCTTGAATGTCGATGCTGGCCTGGGCAAGCCAGAGATGTACACTTGGACATTACCAGCGATTGCTGGTTCCTGCAGCTCCCTCATGCATGCACATGACATTCTTGGATACATTTCCTTTTCTTGCTGGCCTGCCAGTAAGGTTACAGCACTACCTTCGAAATAGTGACAAAACATTTATAGTCACACAGAGCATTGAAACAATGTTTAAAATGTGTTGTTCTTTTTAAAATTTAAAGAGTAAATTCCAACTGACTCTATTTTGAGATATATTTGAGAATTTCACTGTATGTTAATATTCCTGGGGGGACAGTGCAATCAACTGGACTGCATCACACTTTAACTCCAAAAAGGTGGGAATCAGAGGGCTAAAGTGTGAGTGACTCCACAGTGAAGTGTCCAAGCACTCTTCATCAGCATGGGGAGACTATGTTGACTCCTGTGTCCAGCGGTCACTGTGAGGGCCACTGAGGAAATAATCTACAGAAGGAATTAGAAATATGTCCATCAAATGCAGGGAAGACACTTAACTGAGCAAGAATAATAAATGGGTGGGAAACTGGATGGAGAGCCTTCATGCAAGATCATATATTTAGAAACAAAAAGCACACAGATATGAGAAGCCAGTGCTGTAAGAAACTCAGAGAATGGCCTAGCACGTGTCACCCTAAACAGGCAGGGAGGGAGCGCTATTATGAGTCAACAACACTGTAAGGTCCAATAGTGGGGAGATCGCACACTTGCTACACTGGTTAATAGAAAGGTCCAAAATGAATAAGCTCGATTCCGTGTATTTTGTAGGAGCGGAATCTTGGTTCCATAATTAACCCTAAAAAGTAATAATTGCCAGATAGTTGAAAATCCCAAAATTCAACAGGAAAAATTGTAATTTATAGCAAGTATTCATTAAATGTTTACTACTTGAATGAATGACAATTTCATCCAACAATGGTTAAGTTGCTTAAAACTATGACAATATTTAACTTTTCAAATTTCATATGATCTTATTCTTTCTGTGCTCTATTTCTAAAAGCTTGATAATTCTTTCTATTTCTTACCAAAAATTCTTATGCTCATAGTGAATAAACTGGTGCCATTATAAAATTATTTTAGTTCAAATTAAAAGGTATATTCCTGCCAGACATTTCACCCAGTTGCAGATTATCTAAACTGAAACAAATAAAAATATGAATTAATTTTTATATCATTCTTTAAAAGTTTATTAACTGTATTTTACCACTTTAGGCTTTATTTAGATGTTTTTGATTTTATGTGCAGCTTACCGTCCATGAAATTTTCTAATTACATAAGAGAAGTCTCAGTATTCAAAAGCGTTCATACTTTTAAAAGTCAGGATGACAAGAACCTGAAACAGGCTTTCTACACAGAAGCCTCTCTGTTTCCAACAGGCATTACCAGGGTCACGGTTTACGCTCACATCACACAAAGATGGGTCGTTACTGGAGAGTTTTGTACAGTTGATATTTTTAATTCTCTATTTTTGTTAAAAAATGTAGTCTTCATTTTAATCAGGAAGAGAAGTCTGTAATTTCTTCTGTTTCAAACTCGTCTGTCCACTTTTCCAGGGCTTCTGCATCATTTATCGTCCATAACTTCGCAAAACACTTTAGCCTTTTCCTGGAAAGAAAATAAAGTGCTATTTATTTTATAAATGAAATTGTTGGGAGATAAAACATCTCATCGAAAGCTATGAAGAGTCTATGACATTAGAATACAAGGCAGGGCTCTGCAGTTAGGAAGTAGATCAGCACCAGCCTTCTGGAGAAAGGAGTGTAATCAAGTGAGCGCTGATCAGCATTCCTGCCTCCTGGGTGGGAGAGCCCAGCCTCCTTCCTCTTCTAACTCAGCCAGAGGCTGCGTGCGCTCAGAGGACGAAAAGTAAAATGGATTTAATAAAACAAAGCTAGCTAATGAAAGAGTAAAATGCCAACACAATATATACTTTTCTGCAGAAGAGCAACCCAGTGAAGTGTTCAAGGTCTGGAGCGGGAGTACTGGAGTTCCAAGTACTGTTCCACCTCCTACCAGCTTATGTGACCCCAGGGTCCTGGTTGATTTCCTACCCTTGCTTGGCCTTATTTTCCCCAATTATACCACGGGGATAACAACAATACCTATCTCAAAAGGCTGTCATAAGGATTGAGTTAATGTATGTAAAGCAATAAGAATAGTAGCTGGCACAGTGTCTAGGCCTCTGCAAATGACTGCCCAGACTTGTTTCTGTGTGCAGTAAGCATTCAATAAATATTAGCTATTATAACAAACACACGTGAACGCACAAGATTTGGTTTGGTTTCTTTGACCTGGCCAACGGCATTGACGTATAAGCACTTTTAGTGACAAGTAAAGTGTCCTGATTAATCATCAGAATCCACCCCAATGCAATCTCTTCCTACAATTCTCTGTCTTATCAAGTTAACTTTCTAGATTTCAAAATGTCACATACTAGTTGGAAGAGTTAAAATATTTATAAATAATCTGTGAATTTTATTGCTCATGCTCCATAGGCTATAAAGCAGCAACAAGTACACACTGTTGTATTTTATTGCCATCTTGCATATACCTCTTTTTTTTTTTTTTTTTTTTTTTTTTTTTTTTTCCCCCCCAAAACCCCAGTAGATAGTTGTATGTCGTAGTTGCACATCCTTCTAGTTGCTGTATGTGGGACGCGGCCTCAGCATGGCTGGAGAAGCAGCGCGTCGGTGCGAGCCCGGGATCCGAACCCGGGTCGCCAGCAGTGGAGCGCGCTCACTTAACCACCAAGCCACGGGGCCGGCCCTCATATACCTCTTTTGAGGTAAAGTTTTATTCTTATATCTTTAGGGAAAAAGAAAAATAATAAGACAACAAAAGAGGAATTAAATTTGTCTTTGGACTTTGCAAAGAACTAAGAGCTAAGCTTATTTTTAAGCTCTCACAGATGATTATACTTTTCTCTGTGGAAAAATTTTATATTAATCTACTTTGTAACAAACAATTAGAAATAGGCTGTCACTGATTACATCATCTGCTTCTAATACGGCACTGCAGAAATGATCCAGAAGAAAATGTCAACAGAGGAAGCTACATTCCAGCACTTTGGACCTGGCCAACCACCACTGACCTCTGCAAGGTGTGAAGCGCAAGGCAGAAGCCCAGGAGGAAGGAAGAGGAGAAAGACAAGAGGATTGCACAACTGTGCTTCAGTACACAAGCTGCCAATTGTTTCTTTAACTCATATTTGTCGTTATTGTTAGTGTTGAGTGGATTCGACTCCTAGCGATCCTGTGTACTGCAGAGGGGAACCCCGCCTGGTCTTTCTGCGCCAACCTCTCCCTTTCCGCAGTCTATCAGACAATGCTCTGCTGCTATTCATAGGGTTTTCATGGCCAATTTTTTTCAAAAGTGGGTGGCCAGGTCCTTCTTCCCAGTCTGTCTTATTCTGGAAGCTCCACTGAAACCTGTCCCTAATAGGTGACCCTGCTGGTACTTGAAACACCAGTGGCAGAGCTTTCAGCATCCCAGCAACATGCAGCCGCCACAGCACACAACCGACAGGCAGGCGGTGTGGTTCCCCGACCAGAAACGAACCCAGGTCGAGGCAGTGAGAGTGCCAAATCTTAGCCACTACACCACCAGGGCTGGCTTTAACTAATATTAGGTATTAATATTTCAATATTTAAACTTGCTAATGATTTCCAGAACTAAAAAATATTCTTTTAGTATGGTGGCCAGCCAAGATTTTCTATCCGACCGATAATCTGTTCACTCATGGTCATACGGTTATTGACCAGGGCAGTGATGTCCTGCTCCTGGCAGATCAGACTCTCCAGGTAGGGCAGGGGCAGGACAGGCGGCAGATGAGGAGCTTCTGTTGTTTTATAATATAATCTTACATTTGAGAAACAAAAGGCTGTAATTTATTATTTATTAATATGATATTTTCCTAGGAATATCTTCCTTCCAAAGCATATCTCAGGTTTATCTTAAGATTCATTTATATACTGACTACCTCCTGGCTGGATATCAAGGGTGAAAGGTAGAATGCATTCACGTAAGCATCCCAGGCAACAGAGAAGTCAGTTTAGAATGAAAAACTTGTCACAAACAAATCCACAAAATAAGTGACACGTGGACACCAACTACAATTACCTGGTTACGTAATGACATTCTTTTCATTCATGTCCCGACAGAATTCTTAATTTCCCAATGCAACCACTGCATATCTGAATGCAATACATGAATAAAAGAAGTACTCTAAAGCTTTGATATATTGACGTTTCTTTTAGTAATTTTTTGTATAAATGAATGTTTTAAGCAACTAATGTGTTGGCACATATTAAGGAGTTAACTCTTGAGAAAAATGATTGAAAAACCAATTTAGCAACTTAATAGATAAGGATCTGACTAGAGAAGACAGGCTGAATTCACATGAGCTTTGGGACTAGTTATTTCATTTTATAGTAAATAAACGTTTCAGAATATTTGAAGAGGTGATTAAAGATAGATCTGATGTTCATTTACAAGACAAGTCTCTTCCTTGGACAACATGGAAGGTTTCATTATAAATTAAAAAATGCAGCACAATCATTCTGACCTTTTCATATTGACTAATCCTTCCAGTTCTTTGGACTTGCTAGCTGCTTTCTTTAAAATTTCTCCAGGAACATCTGCTAGTTTAGCCACATTTAGTCCATAACTCCTTGCTGCAATTCCTCTGGTTATTTGATAAAGAAAAGTGACAAAATCAGGGACTTCTTCGCCTACAAAATAAGTTTAAAAAAACAGGATATAAAGAAAACCATGCCTGAAAACTGAAAAAAATTAGAGGATTAAAGAAGACATATAAGTTCTTATAACTTTATTAAAATTTACAATCTGAAAAAGAAACCTATTGTTCCTAATCACCTGTTAGCTCCTTTTATCAATTTTATATATCTAGAAAAAGGGTAAATACTATTTTGAAAATGCTTTTGCATTTAGGATCTTTTAGCTCACTTAAAATGGTTTTTAACAATGATTCATTGTTAGCTAAGAAGTATTTAGCTTTATGCTGCCTGCTGAAAAATGTGAACTGAACTTCTATATCAAAAAGAGTGATTCTGATACACGGTACAATATAATTTCTCCTTTAAAAACAGATTAAAAACAAAAAGTCTTATTCCAGTGAAAGAACAGCCAAACAGTCTTGTACGTAATACACTCTGTAAAGTAACATATATAAAAGATGTTTCTAAGAGTGCTAGAAATAAAACAACAAAAACAGATAAGGAAATATTACATGTTGCACAGTTTAAATAACAAGATTGAGAAATTCTGGTTTATAAAATACCCTAGTTACCTAAGAGTTATACATATTGAAGTGGATGCTGCAGTATTACCCATTCCCACTCAGGACTGAAGGGTTTATTGCCCCAACTGTCAGGAAGGTTGTTAGCCACAACCCTCAGCTATACGCTCTCTCTGGGAACTGCCTCAGCTGAAGAGAGCTGCTTCACCCGGGGTCAGAGTGACTTGGACAGCCTGCATGCAGTGACTGGTTGCTATGCGGGTTGGCAGGCAGCCTCTAAGATGTCCACCAAAGATCCCAGCCTCCTGGTGTTCATGCCCTTCTGTCATTCCTTCTCCTTGAGTGTGGGCTGGACCCAGTGACTTGCTTCTAATAAACAGAATGTGGCAAAAATGATGGGATGTCACTTCTGAGATTAGATTACAAAAGACTGAGGCCTCTGTCTTGAGCGCTGTCTCTTGCTTGTTCTGAGGGAAGCCAGTTGCCATGTTGCAGGCTGCCTTATGGAGAGGCCCACATGGAAAGAAACTAATGTCTCTGGCCAACAGTTAGTGAGGGCCTGGAGGCCTGCCAACAGCCACGTGAGTGAGCTTGAAAGCAGATATTCTGAGGCCTGCCAACAGCCATGTGAATGGGCTGGGAAGTGGACTGACCCGGTCAAGCCCTGAAGTGACTGCTGCCTCGGCCAACACCTTGATTAGAACCTTGTGAGAGACTGTGAGGTAGAGGTTTCAGCTCCAGAGGTGTTCAGCAGAGGAAGCCCCGAATTCCTGACCCACAGAAATTATGAGATAATAGTTTGTTGTTTTAAGCTGCTATGTTTTGGAGTAATTTGTTATGTAACAATAGGTTCCTGTCTCCCTCACCCTGAACCGAGCTAACTCTGAAAGACCATCCCAGCTCAGAGCTCCCTGCAGGGCTGGCTGAAGCCTTACGACTGCAACACAGCCCAGCCCTGGCCTCAGGTGTTGATCATGAAAGCAATCCCAAACAAACTTGGCATGCAAATCTCAGAATCAGCTACCTGGGGAACTCAGTCTTCCACATATATACATACACATGGATTAAAAACTTGTAAAGAATTGGGATAGAATGAAGTACAATAACACAAAGACAATTCTGCATAGAGTTTAATCTTTGATAAATCTAAAGCACCTAAGGATTATGCAGCTTTTATTATGAAATTCTATATAACTGCACTGTGTTCCAAAAATGTCCAAGATGAACCAGATTACAATTTCTGAGACCATAGTATACTTATTTTAAGTTTATCAGGGGCTGTTCTCATACATTATTTCACTTGATAAATGTGTATGCTTCATTCTTTTATCAGCTAAAAACTAAAGGCAAAAGACTGAACACAACAGAGAAAAAGGATGACGGAATTTTCTGTAACCTTCTCTAAGAATTCAGCAACAGACAAATAATACCTTCCTAAGGGTGAGTGCTGGAAGTGGGAGGTGAAAAGAATGCTGACACTCTCAGGAATACATAGACTAAAACTGACATTACAAAGACCTAAGAATACCTTTTTCCTCCAAATAAAACTTTAGGAGCACAAAGAACAGGTGAGGAAGTGGGTGGGAAGAGACTGGGAAAGAAGCAAGTAGAAACCAGTGCCTGCTAACCTGGGTAATTAACCTGGGTAATTTTTTGTTAGTCTTTGATGCTCAGAAGACTAAAAGTGAAGTGAACAGTAGAAGGCAATCTAAAAAGCAAACTCTTCTCATCCTTAAGACAGAAAAATAGTCTTTATCACTTCAACTGGCTTAGTCCTAACTGATGTCCCTACCTCCACCCTCTCCTTTATAATCTAGCCTCCATGCTGGTCTTTCTAAAAAAAAAAAAAAAGATTCACTCATCTGTTTGTCCATTCATTATCCATCTATCCGTCCATGCACCCCATCCATCCTCTTCTGAAAGCCCACCAAATGCCACAAAAACTTCTTACTTAACAATTGCTTTGCTGATAGCTTTTTTTTGTTTCATATATATATATATACACACACATACACACATATATATACTATATATTATATATGTGGTATATATATACATATATAGCTATAAATTGCTTTTTATATATAATATAGCTATAAAATATAGCGAAATTATATATTATATTGCTCTGAATAACTCTAACATACCTCAGTACAACAGCTACTGAATTTGTCATCACATACGGGTCTCCACTTTAGTACTAATTATGGTAGTTTTCATGCCTTCAAGGTAAATAATGTGACCACTCTTCCATAATCACTGGAGGGAGCTCTTTTTATAGTTATATTCTACCTCAAGACTGTCCTTCATCCCTCTTGGAGAGGAGAGGGGAGAGAGTGCATGTGTATGATGGAGAGGGGACAGGGGACAGAAGAGAAGGGATAGGATACAGGGGAGAGGGGATGGGGAGAAGAGAGTGTGTGTAATGGAAACTTGGAGGCAGAGAGAGCCAGGTGGGAAAGAACATGGTAAAAACAACTCATTTCTTTACAGCCTCACAATAAAAATTCTTGGTGAGGACTTTACTTACAAGCTATGACCATTTCTTAAATGAATATTACTGAAAAGTTTATCTGACACTTCTTAGAGTCAGTGAAAGTAAGAATTCATGTGTCTGCTTGTTACAGGGGAACTTAGCAAAATTTGTCTTAAAGCCAAACTTCTCTAGGCAGTTATTAAAGAGATGTGTCCTGATCAAATAGTTTTTAAAGTCACTTTTAGCATAGAGTCATAAAATTTTAGAGGTGACTTGTCCAAGATTTTATAGACTGGAATAGACTAAAACATGGTTTCTTACTGCCGGTCCAATGCTTTATCTCCCACACCACAGGAAATAGATAAGCATAGTATCTTAGAAGCCAACCAAAAGGCCTTTGGGGCATTTTACTGATGACCTATGTAATGGCCTCTAATGGAGACAGAAGAGGAGTTAGGTTAGAGGTAATGGATGAAGCATAGGTACAGCTAGGAATAATATTGGAAATGAGCAGGCAATGGAGCAATGCTTCAAAATTCTGAGTGAACATTATTTTCAAACTAAAATTCTAACCCTAGCTAAATTATACATCAAGTATGAAGGTATAATGGAGACATTTTCATTCGTGCAAAATCTTAAAAATTTTACCTCCTTTAGTTGATATTATTAGTAGCCTAACAAAAATCTATTCCAACCCTAAGAAAACCCTGTGTTATAAAGAATTAACTCCCTGACCATTTAACTCAGGGGATAATGTCCTCATATCCAGCTCTAAAAGTTGATCCTGATTAGGATCAACTAGGCTGATGAAAGTCATCCCTGACTTTCTCACTTCTAGGAACTGGAAAATAAGCATGTGATGCAATTCTGAAAATGAGATGAAACAATGATGAGATGCTAGTGGGCATCTGAGAAAAGTTCCCTTGCTCCTAAGAAAGAGTCACAGGAAATGCTGGTCCCTTTTCTTCCTTTGGACAAGGTCAGTTCTGGATGTGATGCCAGAAAGAGCTGCAGCCACCTTGCCACTAGCCTGATGATGAAGCCAGCAGGGCAGGAAGACAGAGCCTGGAGAAGTGCAAAGAGAAGCTGCAGTCTACCCTTCCTCTGAGGTTCCTGTAATGTGAGATTATATACATCCTTGTTGTTTGAGCCAGTGTGAGTTCAAGCGTTCTGTTGCTTGCAATCAAATGCACAGAAGAGAGGGTAAGAGAAGTCCTAGGATGATGGTAAAGGCAGGTCTCAGGACAACAGCTGGGCAGCAGGCCTAAGAAGCAACCAGTCCAGGTGAGCAGGAGGACAAAGGGCTCCAGGAGGAACGACCCCAGTGAGGAAAGGTGGAACCAACAGTTTGATCATGTGGAAAAACGTCTAGAGAGGCATTTTACAAAGCTTTTGAAGGATATAGGGAGATTCAGCTATAGATTCAAATAAAACAATGAAATGAAAAAAACAAGGTAATCATTACCTTCAAGAAAACAAAAAAAAAAAGTTGTAGAAGAAAGGAAATGTACTTGTCTCCATACTTGGCTCATGAGTGAGCAATACTTACTGGCAATAATAGTGAAAACAATAAACACGAATGAAACAGAGAAAATGCGAAACAACTATACTGGGAGGACAGAGGGAGGGAAGGCTGAAGACCTTCATCTAACACAATGAGAAGTCAATCAATAATATGTCAAGCTGATGAAACAAGAGATAAAAAATAAGCATATTATTTAGAAATATGGAAGAAATGGATGAAAGAGTTGAAAACAGTTGCCTTGGGACTGGGATGGGGAAGGGGCATGGAGTGAAGGGAAAGAAGCCGGGGATAGCTGACTATTAGCATCATTTAACGTTTTAAATTATGTTCATGAGTAAAAATTTAAATCAATAAAATAAAGTGCCCAAACACTTAAGATGTATGGCTCTGGGTTAGTAGTCAGCTCACATCAAATGCCTATCACGACCCTTCCCCGTTGGTGAACTCAATTTTGTTTATCTCGTCGGGTTTAAGCTTATAAGCTCCTCCTGTCACTTTGGATGCAGATTAATAGACATGAAACTGCTTCCAGGAAAGAATTTATGATGTATTTTTCAAGACTGCATGGTGGTGAAAGGCAAGAATTGCCTAATGTTACCTTTATCTTAGGTCCAATGCTTTGTTTTATTTGGGCCAATTGCCTGATTTCTTTTTCAGGTCCATCCTTATTACTTTTCCAAAATAAAATTTGGACTCTGGAGTGTCTTGGATATTGGATTTTCCATTGTAGCACACCAAGTGTGTAAACCATCACTGGCCCACAGGCTGGTAGCTTAAACAAAAATTACTACTGAACAGGAAAAAATTATGCTAAAATCTACTACATTACCTACAGCAATTGAATTTATTTCTATTGGCTTATGGTGTTCTTTTTCATGAAACGTCTCATTTCTGTGACACTAGTGCACTAGTGCAAGTGGAAAGGCTAGGAAAAATACTGTAGATCCCACATAGCAGTTCTAGCAGAGGAGAAGAGAAGAGACTTGCAAGCAGAGGACATGGATTTTAGGCTCAGTTCAGCCCTGACCCAGGTGGCCAATACCGGCAAGCCACTTGACCTGTCTGAGATTCAGTTTCACGTCAAATTAAGAGAAAACATGTCCAGTATAGCATATGGCTCTTAGTAAGTAATTAACGTTAAATGATATTTTGGGAAATATACTGGGCATTTTAAAGATGACTAACAATACTCTGCACTTGATTGTTAGGGCATCTTTCCTGAGACGAATCTAAGAGGAAAACCTAAACATCTCCCAACCCCTCTCTTCTTGTAGAAAGATGAGATACGGAATACCAGAAAAGCACTCAGAGATGGCAAGAATAAATGCAAATTTTATTTGACCCAAAGTTTAGAGAAAATTAATTTGGACAAATGTTATTCACAATCAACATTCACAGCTTTTATGATTAATAAGCAATAAATTCATGTTCCTACAAACTTCGAGTTATCAAACCTTCTAGTTTTACCTACTGCAGGAATATTTCCTACCTGGATCTGGTTTGCTTTCATCCTCGTTGACCAAGAATCCCATGTGGTAATTCCCCACCTGCTGTGAATAACTTCTTTCTAATTCACAAACTGGCGGATAATGGGTGACAAACAGGGTTAAGCATTTCACCTAAAGCAATAAGACATATAAACATTATTTTATTTTTAAATTTTATTTTAATTAAAACTTTCCAAAACTTTTTTGAAATTAAAAATTTCAAACCTTCAAAAAAGTTGCAAGAAAAGTACAATGAACATCCATACACTCTTTATCTAGACAGCCAATTGTTAATATTTTACCATATTTCCCCTTCTTTTCTCCCTCCCCCACTTTACACACACACACATTTTCTCCTGAACCATTTGAGAATTAATTGTAGTCATGACACTCCATCCCTAAATACTTAAGATTTTATCTTCTAAGAACAAAAACAGTCTCCTACACCATCAGAATAAAATTATTATACTCAAGACATTCAACATTGATATATCACTATTATTTAACATACAGCCTATAAATTTCCCTAAATTGTCCCATTAACGTTCTTTATGTTTTTTATATTTTTTTAAAAAAATCAAGGATCATGTAGTGCACTTAGTCATGTCTCTTTAGTTTCCATTAATCTAGAAGAGTTCCCTAGCCTTTTCTTTTTTGTCTTTTATGACATCAACATTTTTGAAGTATCCAGGAGAGCTGCTCTGCAGGATGTCCCCCAATTTGGATTTGGCTAAATTTCCTCCTGATTAGATTCAGATTAAACCTTATTGCCAGGAATATTACATACATATGTAGGTGACAGAGCCTTTTCAGTACATCATATGAGAAGGCACATGATGTCAATTTGACCCATTATTGGGATGCTAAATTTGACTATTTGATTAAGTGGGTGCCCAGAAGATTTATTCCCCGTCCTGACACCTCTCTCCTTGGTAATTAATAAACAACTTGTAGGGTGATACTTTGAGACTGTGTAAATATCCTTTTCTTCAACAATCTTTCAATTCCAAAAGTTTTACCATCTATTGACCATCATTGCCTGAATCAGTTATTATTATGGTGGTTAGTAAATACTGATTTTTTAAAAAAACATCCTCTCTATGTTTACTAGTCGGCATTCTATAAAATAGAGCTTTCCCTTGTCCCCACCTTACCCCATCATTTTAAAATTTATTTTTGTTTTTTAGTAACAGTATAGACTCATGGATTCTTTTTCTTTTTTTTTTGTGAGGAAGATCGGCCCTGAGCTAACATCTGCCAATCCTTCTCTTTTTTTTTGCTGAGGAAGACTGGCCCTGAGCTAACATCCATGCCCATCTTCCTCTACTTTATATGGGATGCCGCCACAGCATGGCGTGACAAGCGGTGCGTCGGTGTGCACCCGGAATCCGAACCGGCAAACCCCGGGCTGCCGCAGCGGACGCCCACACTTAACTGCTTGCGCCACCGGGCCAGCCCCCATGGATTCTTTAATAAGCATCATGTTAAAGCACATACTACTAAGTATTCTATAAGTTGCTATCTTGAGGGAAGTGAACACCAAATGTTGGTCTAAAAATTACCTGAAGAGGGTAATTAGATCAAAGAACTCCAGTTTTGATTCATCTGCCATTCACCATATTAAAAGTCATAACATGTGCCCTCTCTCTTATAAAAATTCCAAATAAACCTATTAGGGCAGGGTTTCTTTGACAAGCTGCCCTTAAAATCTGCCCTGAAGGATCTTAGGACCAGCTGTCTTCACAGTGTCCTTCCCTGAGCTGAGGGGCATTTCTAGCCAGAAGACCTAAGGGACTGGGTTACAACACTGCTCTCCTCAAGGCCATTTTCAGCTTGCAGCAACAACACACAGCCTCCCCCATTTCTCCTCTCTGATTTCTCTTCCCCATCCCAGCAATCAAAAGACACCATGAAAATAAACATTTTCCTCCATAAAAAGGTTAGGGACTCTTGGTCTTGAAGAATCCTCTTCAATGACTTACCTCTAAAGTAAATTTTATCTAAAAATAATACTTTCTTCATTAACATTAAAAAAATCCAAAACTGCTATAGAAGCAATGAAAATAGAAGTGACAGATTCAATTCTGTCATAATTTGTTCCTGAAGGTTCTTAAATGAATCTCTGAAATATTGCCAAACTGCTTCTGGTAGCCAGCCTCCAACATGGACCCAAAGATCTTCACTTCCCAGTGTCCATGCTCTTGAGTAGCCTCTTCCCACACTCAATCAGGGCTGGCCCTGTGTGGCCAACAGAATATGATGGCAGTGACAGTGTGTGGCTGGCTTCTGAGAGGAGGTCATAAAACACACTGCTGCTTCTAATTGGCCTCTTGGATTTCTTCCTCAGGGGAAGCCAGACACCACTCTTTAAGGATACTCAAGCAGCCCTGTGGAGACCCACAGGGAAAGGAACTGAGGGCCCTGGCCAACCACCCACGCCAACTTGCCAGCCATGTGAGTGAGCCACATCGGATGAGGATCCCTCAGCCCCAGTCAAGCCTTTGGACGACTGCAATTCTGGCTGACAACTTGACTGCAACTTTGGGACAGATCTTGAGCCAAAACCACCCAGCTAAGCTGCTCCCAAATTCCTCACCTCCAGACACTGTGAGAGGTAATAAATGATTTTTGTTGTTTTAAACCACTAAGTTTTGGGGTGATTTGTTATGCAGTCATAGTAACTGACGCATTGCTATAGAGTAGACAGAATGAAATCAAACTCAAAGGTGGCCAATTCAATTCTGTCATAATTTGTTCCTGAAGGCTCTTAAACTAATGTTTACAATGTGTTTTCGAGGCAGCGATAGGACTTCATCGAACCTGTGATATGTAGTTTCTACAGTGATTAACCAAAAGTTCCTGAGATATCTTTTAGCAAATAATTTCTTTTTAAAGTCATTATTAACTATGTAATCCGTTTAAACAAAAAACTGAGGGCCACAAAATTTTAAAGAAAAAGGGATTTTATTTTTGCATTATGTTTTTTCAAAGAAATATAAGTAAAAAATATGCTTTTACTGGCTATTTAAGGAAGAAAAGAAGAAATGAAAATGAAATGGGAGGAAAATGGGAAAAGGAAGACATGAAAGAAATGAAAATGGGAGGAAGACACAGAGACAAAGAAAAGAGTAAAACGTGGAGAACAAAACAGAAAAAGAAAAACCGAAGAAGGAAGGTTCAGGGGCAGGTGCTGAGACGGAGAGAGAGAAAAGAAGAGACCAAATTGGACAAAGACAGAAAGAGTAAATAAAGGGCAGACTTTAAGGGAGATGACAGGGATGGAAAGTTTGACCCAAACAAAATTTCACATTGAGATGTTTATAAATGCACTCTGAAAAGAGAGATCTGCACTGAAGGAGTGATGTTACTGAAACAGAAAGAAACAAAGAGATCAGATCAGAGACCTTATACTGTGATCTTGTAGGATATTGCTGAAAAAAGTATTTCACAGGGCAAATATGGCACTATCTCCTTTTTGTTCTTTTCTCAAGGATTGGTTTGTAGGTGGACGGTCTCTGCTCTTGATTTAGAGTTTGCCAAGGATAATAAAACACATTCTGCATGGAAATACTGCCAGAGAGGCCTTTCTCCTACTGACCAGACCCGGTTTATTTTGCCTCAGCAAAAGGAAGACACATCAAAGAATTACAGACATTATTTAGGACCAATCTATCTGAGTTCAAGGTATAGCACTGGCATGATCAATTGCAGGAATAGGATCAACTATAACAATTAAAGACAATTTTGAGTATTTAGGAGCTGAGGTCAGGAAAACAGTTTGTATAGTATGTACCATTCATGTCCACAAAGGTATGCAAGGTACTTACATCTCTAATAAAATGCTCAAGTGTAGCATAAGCAATGGCAATTCCATCATGTGTGCTCGTCCCTCTTCCTAATTCATCCAAGATAACCAGGGACTGTGACGTTGCTTTTCTTATTATTTCTGCTGTGTCAGTCAGTTCTTCCATAAATGTACTCCGCCCTTTATATATATTATCTGCAGCACCCATCCTACAAATAAGATGAAGACACCTTGATTTCCCTCTTAACTTCATTATTAGGAAGCCAGGCATTATTTTATAAACAATAAATATAAAAGATCCCTAAGGGTCTATACACTTTGAGCCAATAACAGCTGAAATTATATTAAATAAAATAAAACATATGTTGGATATAAAGAGTGCCTAACATCAAATTTCACCCTGTAGAAACATTCTGGATAGAATCTGAGGTACTGGACAGAGCTCTCAAAAAGTTCAGAAATCTCTGTCTTTTTCTGACCAATCATTTCAAACCAAAGTTTTGGTACTCACAGGGGAAAATAACACTTCTCTGCATCGCTGGTTTTAAAATCCACAAATACTAGGACATTGTACAATTAAAAGCTTTTCCCACTATTTCCTTAAGAAGATTCCACACTGTTATTTCGAATTAGAGTACCATGTTGAAAAAACTCATTTATATAAGATAAAACATTTTACTAGAACTACATTTACAGAGGTTTAATAACCTCAGACAATTAATACAGGTTTCTAAAGTGGAATTTATGGAACATAGTTCTTAGAAATGTCAAGAAACGGGTCTAAGAGATGTAAGGGTTTCGTCCCTGTAAGACTTCTTAGAGGTTTTCCTATTCTGCTGCACATGGTGCATTTCCTAGAGAGGGATCTAGTACACAGCGCTTCTCTGACTCGTCTAACCATGGACCCCTAAAACTTCTCCGGGAGCACCTTGTGATGATGATGGTCTACAGAACACATTTGGGAAAACACCTATTTAGTACAAAAGGGACCTGGAAAAAAAAAGATAATACTCACTCAAGGTCATGCAGTTAATAGCAAAACCTAGAATTCAGGTTTTCGCCCTGCTATCTAGCTTTGTAAATTCTGGTAACTATTTTCTCAGCAAAATATGTTCATCAATTTAGTTTTGCTGCAACAATTCACATGTGACCTACAGCAGCATAATGGACCTTTTACTTCCAGAGAAACTCATGTTGAAATCGAGCCTTACCCGCCCTGTGGCTGGAGCCCTGGACTGGGCAGGGGAGATGGAGCGTAATGTTTTCCCCACAGACTGTGGAGCCCTAGGAGAACCACTCCAGTCATCAGTGGCATTCAGAAACTGTAATGAACTACATCTACGAAAAGCTGATATGGTTTTACTCAAAATGCTGTCAATTTTATCCATTTGAAAATCAATAACTACAAAACATAATTTCTGAAATGTTGTTAACTTACAAGCATTCTGGTTACTTTTTTAAAGTTCAAATACTATTTACCTCGATTTTCAATGTTTGCTTTGCTAATATTTCCCCTACCACAAAGCAAGAAGATTCAACTTTCCTACCTCTGCAACCACTCTGAATTCTTCAGACTCATGAAGTCTGACCCCAGTTAACACTGTTGGCTTCTATTCCTGACAGGTTGTGAGCTGACAAGAAGAACAAATCTTTGGCTGATAACAAAATACCCTGATACGGCAAATATCTTGGGGGTCTTTGATTCTCAAGAATTAGAATAACATAAGCTCTTTTTTTTTTTAATTTTTATTTATTTATTTATTTATCTTTTTACCCCAAAGCCCCAGTAGATAGTTGTATGTCATAGCTGCACATCCTTCTAGTTGCTGTATGTGAGACGCGGCCTCAGCATGGCCGGAGAAGCAGTGCATCGGTGCGCGCCCGGGATCCAAACCCCGGCCGCCAGCAGTGGAGTGCACACACTTAACCGCTAAGCCATGGGGCCGGCCCAAGAATAACAAAAACTCTTACGGGATAAGATCTTAATGCAATAGTTTATGTATTATACTTAAGTGCTTTCTAGAAACACTACGGGAATAGAGTGCTCTCACTGGGAATTTCAGGAATTGTAGAATGCTCTTGGGAAAGATATTCAAAGGTGAGATTTCAAATCGGGGAAAAGATGAATGTCTAATCAATAAAAATGGTGCTAGCTAATTGGTTATTTCAGAAAAAATAGAGATGTGTCCCTATTCAAACCATATTCCAAAATACATTTATATGGATTTAAAGTTTAATGTACAAATAGAAACCATAAAGATACCAAGCAGTATAAGTGAAATTTAATCTCTGGACAGGTGGGTGGGTGGCTTTATATACATGGCAGCAAAACATGTGTATAGCAAAAACACATGGTACCAATGTGCCTCATGGTATTATAAGGTTCCTGTCCTTAAGGAGGCCAGGCCAGATTTCAGGGGATCTTGGATGCATTTTTATTAAGCAATGGTCCTAACTCTACTATTAAGCCAGTGGTTTTCAAATATCTTTTTAGCTGTTAAATCCTTTGTTCAAAGGAAATTGACAAAGAGCTCACTCTGCAAAGGAGATAAAAGGAACACTGATTTGGTCAAGAATCCAGCATTATTAGGCCCCCTTCCCCCGACCAGAGGAGGCTGTGGGGGCCTCTTAACACTCTGTGGAACAGTTTGAAAGCCACTGCATTAGGAGTCAACACATTTTCTATTACAGTTCTATTCTTCCACAGCACCTGATGATAACACAGCAATGCTGCCCAGCAGATGCTGAAGAGATGCTGGCTCATTAGCCAGTCACAGAGACCACTGGGGAAGCGTGCATTTGTAACTGTGGGAACTGTCTATTGATAAAAAAAATATTTCCTGTTAACTTCTCTTAAGAAATATAGTTTATTTTTCCAATAAATTTCAGCAATATAATGACTTTATATGATTCTGATGGACACAGAATTTTATCATTAAACACATTTTCCTTTTTGTCTTGGTTACTAGGAAACAACTGAACACCACCTTATAATAACAAACGGCAACCGTTTATCTTACGTTTCTATCCTTTTTTCTTTTTGATCCAATGTCTTTGGATACCACTTCACCCTCTTATTACCTGCTCTATTGTATATATCGCAGTAAACTGCCTAAAATAAGATTTTGGAGCAAAGCAGGGTAAAAATTAATTAACAAAAAGTTATAATTTTTTAATAACTCATCAAGCATTTACAAGACATACTACTGGACAATGATTCTGAAATTTTTCAAATGTCAAAATATGTTAGAGATTTAAGTAATTCCAGAACATATGTCATTATTATCATTCTGTCTATATTTATATTCCAATGTAGTGAAAAATGAAAAATGCATTCTTTAGGTTTCATCTTAGAGTGAGTTTGCTCTGAGTAGACAGGTTACAGTTACGTGATTAAGAAAAAAAAAATCCCTCTGATATTTTTAGGAGTGGCGGCTGACTAATCTTTCTAATCCCCCCACTCTCTCCTCGCCTATAACCCCTATATAGGTCAACCAAGCTCAATAAAGCGTAAAGGAGAAAAGAACTTACTACTTTTTTGAATCAGTTTGTAAAATCAAGAACATTTTCATGAAAATTTGAATGAGAGTTCGTTTTTATGAGATTTTGACATTTTAAGATAACATTCCAGATGTTTCTAAATTATAGCAAATGGGGTGGGCCTCTGTCTCTCCAAATCACAATCTCTGGGCCTTACGCAAGGAAAACGTTAGCATGGGGGAGAAATATTGCAATTAACGGGGGAAAAAGGATTTTCCATATTGAATGATAAGTAATTGGAGCTTAAATATCAAAATTGGTAAATAGAGGCAATGATTATTTGTATTGCATCAGGATTTTTTGAAATACTTTAAGTGTTTTTAAAAAAATTGTGGTAAAATATGTACATATAACGAATATTTACCATTTTAACTTTTTAGCTGTATAATTCAGTGGTATTAAAGCACATTCACAATGTTGTATAGCCATCACCACTATCCATTAGCAGAACTTCTTCATCATCCCAAACAGAAACTCTGTAACCATTAAACAATAACTCCCCATTCTCCCCTCCCCCAGGCCCTGGTAAACTCTATTTCACTTTCCATCTCTATGAATTTGCCTATTCTAGGTTCCTCGTGTAAGTGGAAACAGACCCTATTTGTCCTCTAAGTGCTTTGTGTAGGGAGGTTTTTACGTTAGCTTATTTTGCCTTCTTTTGGAAAATAAAGAAGTTCTATTCACTTCACTTTGCTAAAAAACTTTGCATAATTCTGTCCAGTACGGGTATCTAAGCTTTTTGGGGTTTTTTTTTGTATTTTATGTAAATTTTACAAAAGGAAAATTATCTCATAAATAACAAAGTACTCTAACTCTTGAGAAGGATGGGGTAAGGAAGGAAGAAAAGAACCAGAAATTTCAAGTCCAAGAAGAGAAAAAGCCACAAACAAATAACAATCATTACAAGATGTGTAGGGGCCGGCCCAGTGGCGTAGCGGTTAAGTGCGTGTGCTCCGCGGCGGCGGCCCAGGGTTCGCAGGTTTGGATCATGGGTGCACACGACACACCACTTGTTAAGCCATGCTGCGGCGGCGTTCCATATAAAGTAGAGGAAGATAGGCACGGATGTTAGCCCGGGGCCAATCTTCCTCAGTAAAAAGAGGGGGATTGGCAACAGATGTTACCTCAGGGTTAATCTTCCTCACAAAAAGAAAAAAAAAATGTGTAGATACCGTATGGTATTTAAAAGGCGTAAAAAACGTGTAGTACATCTGTATTGCACTTAATTAAATGCAAACATTAATCCAGAAATGGAATAAAATCACAAATGATTTACCACTACATGTGTGCATTTACAAAAAGCCTGGAAGGCCATATACCTAAACAACAGGGATTTCCAGGTGGTGGAATTACAGGTAATTAAAATTTTTTTCCTTTTTTAGCTTTTCTTTAGTTTTAAATTTTGTGCAATGAAAAAGCATTATGATATAATTAGAAAAACAAATTTTATTTTTAAAAATCACAAATGATATATTTAAGGACACTTTATACTCTATTGTATCATTACATTAAGATAAGGCAAAATGATGGTAATTGCCAGGTTAAATAACCAACTTTCTTCTAGCAATATCAAAAATACTTTATTAGCAGCAATGAAATTATTATAATAGACAAGAAAAAGATTTCTTTTTCTAGCATAATTGTTTCTACTAACAGTTGCAATCAGATC